CTTAGGTGTATGTGGCTGGTGCCTTAGCCGCTTGAGCCGCAGGCACCAAGCCAGGTGACATTTTTAAAAATCAGTAACAAAGTTAGCTAGGAATTAGGATTATTTCCCTACTAGTCTCCAAACTAGAAAATGGATTTTAAAACCAGTTCTACAACTGTTATGTGACTTGAAGAAAGTTAGTTGCTGTAATCTCTTTGAGCCTTCATTTTCCACCTGTTAAGTAGGATAACAATATCTAATTTCTTTAATAGTGGGTAAGATGTAATTGAAATATAAAACCCACAATACTTTCTGTAACAGCTCAAATTTTAAAGCATATTATTTGGAAAAAGTAGACCACATGCATCTGGAGTCTAACTCTCTTCTAATCGTGGCCCTGCCACCTAGTAGGTGTGTGACTTTGTCTAGTCCAGTGGTTCTCAATCTTCCTAATACCACAACCCTTTAATACAGTCCAAAGGGTCCTGACCCACAGGTTGAGAACCACTGGTCTAGACCCTTATCCTCTTTAGACTTTAGTTTCCCCTTCTGTAAAATGGGGATAACAGTAGAACCGCTTACAAGGGATTGCTCAGGGTTAAATGAGATAATGCACATCAAAATAATGCAAAGGCATCTAGTACATTGCACACAGCTAGTTTTCAGTAAGTGTTAACTGTTACAATATAAATTATGATGTTTAATGTAGGGGAAGCCTTGCCAAAAGATAGAAGATTTACCATATTTGCTATCTCTTCTCCTTCCCTTGATAAGCTCCAAACTATACCATTTATACTAAATGTGGTAAGGTGTGCGTGTTTTATTTATTTTATTGCTATTCCATTAAAAATTACTAAGTCTTCTTCATTGAGTTTTTGGCACAACAGACCAAGGCAATAATTGGAGAAGCTGTTAGTTATCATAAAGACTTTTCTTACTTCGTAGTTTTTCTATAAACTGCAAAATCATGTCTAATTTAAAAGGCCTGATGTTTAAGGAGGAAGGGTCCATGTGTGGGACGGAACTGCCTTCAGTCCTGAGCACCTGAACTACATTGCCTCTGGGATATAGGGAGGAAGGGACAAGGCACTTCAAAGAAACCAGGGGCCAGAAAAGAGTTACTGCTGTAACTTACTATGATAGCTTCCCTGTTCTTCAGTCAGTATACCTGTTCTTCTCCCCTGAGTAGCAGCAGAAGAGGAACAGAAACGATATGCCATAGTTGGCTCAGGAGGCTTCTTCCAAAGACTGGTTCCAACTAGAGTGTACAGCCTCACCAGATGCCAGAGATTGCTCCCAGCCTATGGAAAGTAAGCACTTTCCACAAAAAATCTTTCAGGCCCTTTGGGAGTAAAGACAAGGTCCTGAGCTGTTTTCACTTACTGAATTCTATAACTAGGAATGAAACACTATGCTGTTGCTAAAAATGACTTTTATTTCTTTCAGAATTTATAGATTTTTTTTAAATTTGGTGTTCTTTTAGTTGTGTATGTTCCTAGGAGATGTTACAGGAGGCCATTTTCCTAGGAGTTTCCATCTCCTGTCTGAGGACTCACACATTATTCTCTAGTGTCTTTGTGCTCAAAATCCTGCATTCACCTTGTGTCTTCCCTCTTTTCAGCAGCCTCGTGCATCTTATTTTTTTTCTGATTCCATAACCACTACCCAGATTTTAAGTTTATCTCTTCACATCTGTATTTGTCATAACAACTTTAAAAAATCTGAAGAGCAAGAAGGAGGGAGGATAGGGAGGGTAGAAAAGGTACTGTACTCCCAATATAGAAAATGTGGAGAACATGGTGGATATAAAGAAGAAAACAAGTCATCGTTTAGAAATGATGTTACTTATAGTCTGGATTTTATTTCCAATCGTTGAGGAGTGTGTGTGTATGTTTAAAGAAATGTGGATTTACTCTTTATGCAGTTTCATATTACGACTTTTACTATGGTGATTTTTTTTGTTTGTTTTACTTAAGGTATCAGCACATTCCTGTATCATTAAGTATTTTTTTTAAATGTAATGAATATATAATATTCTCTTACATGGAGAGAGCAAAATTTATTTAACAATATTGTTAGTCATTTATATCTTCTTTTTTGATATTAAAAATAATGCTTGCTTTTCAGCATCTGTTGACAGTATAATGTGGTAAGTAAGAATGTGGGCTTTAGTACCACTGGCTAGATTTTTTGTTTTTTTTACAGACAGAGTCTCACTTTGTCGCCCTCAGTAGAGTGCCATGGTGTCACAATCACAGCTCACAGCAACCTCCAGCTCCTGGGCTTTGGCTATTCTCTTGTCTCGGCCTCCTGAGTAGCTGGGACTATAGGCACTCACCACAACCCCTGGGTATTTTTTTGTTGCAGTTTGGCCAGGGCGGGTTCAAACCTGCCACCCTTGGTATGTGGGGCTGGCACCCCTCTCATTGAGCCGTAGGCGCCGCCCTAATTTTTTTTTTTTTTTTGGCTGGGGTCGGGTTTGAACCCACCACCTCTAGTATATGGGGCCGGGGCCCTACTCCTTTGAGCCACAGGTGCTGCCCTAGCTTTAAAGTTTTAATTGACTAAATGTATTCCTTCTTTATAGATTATTTGTTGAAGTCAGTGCCCATTCTTGTATTAACTGGCCATCTTTTTCTTTCTAAACCAATGAGTTCTTTGCATACTATAATAGTTATTATTATTTATAACTTAAATTCATTGAGCGTATAAAACTTTTCGATGAGGAAACAAAGGCCAGAAAGGCTAGTTTGCCTAGTTTCTTTGAACATTGCCTGGTACAGAGTAAACAGTACTTTTTTTTTGTTTTTCTGAAACAGAGTCTCACTTTGTCACCCTCAGTAGAGTGCTGTGACATCATAGCTCACAGCAAGCTCCAACTCTTGGGCTCAAGTGATCCTCTTGCCTCCATCTCCTGAGTAGCTGGGAGTACAAGTGCCACAATGCCCAGCTATTTTTAGGGATGGGGCCTCACTCTTGCTCAGGCTGGTCTTGAACTCCTGAGCTCAGGCAATCTACCTGCCTCGGCCTCCCAGAGTGCTAGGATTACAGTCATGAACCCACTGTGCCTGGCAATAGTACATTCTTGTTTTTCTTGTCCATCCTTGCTTTTCACAGCATGTGGCACAGTTGAGTGCTGTGCACACCATTGTCAGCTTATGTTCATCCTAACCACTGTCCCTTCTGCTCCTTGTGCACAAAAGTCAGCCCTTCCTGGGTGCCTTTGTCACAGCCCTGGCTTCAACTCAGAGGGGTTACCATCTGTTGGACTTGATTTGTCCTAGATATTTTTAATGATACTTGTCGATAACTCTGTAAAGTCAGGTTATTTCCCTCACTTCATTTCTAGGTAACAAACCTGAATTTGGCAACTGGCGTCATAAACAGAAGCAGTGCTTCGACTCCCCCAACCCTTCGCCCCGTCATCATTCCTAATGGCCCGACATGGTCAATACAGTCAGACCCCCAACCTCCCGAGAACCACTCCAGCCCTCCTGGAAGCAGGTATGTGCAGGGCCCTGGAGCTAACACTGGAGTTGCACACATCCCAAACAAGCCATTCCCACCTTGAGCTCTGTACAGAGATACCAGTGAGGCAGACGCCCATTCTTTATCTGTCTAGATCCTCTGACACTTGAGTAAGAGAGCCTCATTTTATTTGTAAGACAGTTTTCAGGAAAAATCAAACAAAAAGGAAATTACTGAGACAGTTAAGAAAACCACTTCTGGGTGATAGCAAGAATTTATACTGTGTTAAGTCTTTGCTTATAGTCAACATTTTCACCTACTAATCTTTGGCATGTTATTGTCTTAATTCTTTTTGTGTGTGTGTTGTCTTAATTCTTTTTTTTACTGTGTTTCAGTAACTTTAGACTCTTTTCTTTTGAAGGACATATTTGTTTTTCATTTTCATCTAGTTTCATTAAACAGCCTCCCTGGGTAATCTTCATTTAGGAAGTAGGAATGAAATTTCCTTTATGTAGTTGAAAGAAGTGACTGAGTCAAAAATTTAAATAGATTCTGGCAATAAAGTAAGCTACCTCTGAATTTAAAAAGACACTGTATTAAATTCTAGTCTGACTCCCTATTTTAATTGCCCCTGTATAAAAAAGTGTAAGAAATGGATTCCCAGTACATCTTCCTTTAGTGACTATTAAATATGGATTAAATTGCATTATTTTCTGAGTCTTATGCATGAGAGAGAAATGTGACTGCTACAATGAAGTGTTCTGACCAGCTAAGATATCGTTCTCTCCAAATAAGCTCTATCCCAGGTGTCCCACTGAGTCTGCACACCCCATGCCAGTGCTTCCAGCCTCTGCTCTTAATGTGCTGCTTTGCCCTGAGGTTGGGAGGGGGAACTGATGATTGGAGCATGGAAGAAATGCCTAATTATTGGTAAATTATCTGTTGGTGTTAGAATTACTATGTAAAGAACTAATTTGGGAAGCAGAAACTCTGCCCTGGAAGCAACATGAACATAAGCACATTACATCATGCTGTGGTACAATGTCTTTCATATCCATGATCACTGTGGTCATGGTGAAAAGAATCTTCTCAGTTGAGAATTATAAAGAACTGAAGCCTAAGAGGCTGGATTTTTTTAAGGCAGGGTATCCACACAGTTCTCTTCACAGAAGTTTGCCGTTTGGTGATTTACAATCTACAGAGTAACTACATTCCTAAAACATAAGTCGTAAAAAAGAAATTCTGTTTATGCCATAGAGCTTTATTTTCCATATAAAATATTTCCAAATATTCCATTTTCATTTTAAAATCTTAACCTTGTTTTTATGGAAAACATTTTCACTGCCATTTTGGATACCCTCTGTATAATGAGGCTACAGGCATTTTCCATGCTGTAAACAAAACGTCAAAGCTACACATTTTGGAGAAGTAGAGTTTTAGCACTTTTTATATTTGTAGATAGAACGAGGAAAAACCTTAATAAACATTATAGTTGAGGGCTTTCTCTTGGTAGCACCTGTTCGTACTGAGATGAAAGGTGATGGATCAGTCAAGGTTGAACCAGGACCTGGATTCCAACATATAAATGGCCACCTCCCAGCCAGACTGTACTCGTGAGGCTGCAGTAGAATGGTACATTACACAATTTACTTCGGGCCCCTTGCAGACAAAAAGCATCCTCCGTGAGGCCTCTTGGTCTTTTTCATTTTTGAGTTTATTGTACTCACGGTAGCCCTCTCTTTATTTCTCTTGAAGTACTAGGGCCAGTTTTCAGGCCCCAGTCTAGGGAAGCCCTGGGAAATCTCTGCTCCCAGGTAACCTCTGGTTGCCAGGACAGTCGGAAGGCTCAGCTTGGGAGTCTCACTTCCACCTGGAATTCCCCAAGGTAACCACCCCGAAGCAGCCCTAAGTGAATTCTCAGAGGTTCTTCCAGGCCAGGCTGTGCAGTGGGCCCCAGCCAGACCCACAGCACACATTCTGCCAGTACTGCATCCTCATTTCCATTTTTACCTGATAATTCACTGCTTTGGGGACATTTATTTAGTCCCTTGTTGTTCCTCCTTTAGTAGTAAGGATGACTAAGTTTAATGAATGTGGGGTTTGTAGCTGAGAGATGTGAGTTTTATTACTGGTTTTGACACTAAGTGACCCTAAGCTATATTTAATCTTTTTATTGGGTAAGAATACTTACATATAAACTAGACTGTTTTGAGAGCTTTTAGATTGCCTTTAAAGCCCTTTGATCTCCCTGGAAGTGGGTGCTAAATAAATAAAAGGTACTCTTGCTACTTTTTCTGCAATAGAAACAGTGGATTCCAGTGCTGATAAACTCTAAAGTCTGATAATTTGCTTAAAGTAGGGACTGCCCTGTAAACTGCACTAAGATGCAAAGAGAATCCCATTGCTGGCTGTACTTTTCATCTCTGCACGTCGGAGAATTCAATGACTTGGTAGCCACAGGAATGTCCCTGTGGTGTTGCTATTGTTCTCTATTTTATGGATCATACAAATTTTTACCAAACAACCATGTTCTTCCCCTCTCCCCTTCTGTTTTGAAACCACCCCAAATGTAGCCTCAGGGTTGTCCTCTCCCATTGGGTCAGTGGAAGCTCAACCCAGCTCCTCAAATCCCTTGGTTCTTTGGTCTGTCTGGAGTCCCTATTCAGGCTTTGTTGTGGGAGAGGAAGGCAAAGAGCCCATGACTTGCCCAGACAGTCTGAGGCCTGGCCATGTAACTTGCAGTTCCCTAGACACTCTGGAGTTGGACTTGGCCAGCCATTCCTCTGTTGTTACTTTTCAGAGGTAATAAGTGAGATTAATTGCAGGCCATTCTCCAGAAGAAAAAGCAGTTAGAGCCAAATACAGTCACATGTTTAGAAGCCTGAGGTGTGCCTCTAAGCAAGGCCGACTTTAAATTATACCATAGGGGCTCCAAGATGCAGGTACAAGTGGTTGTGACCTCTTTTTTCATAAAGTGATATTTTTGGTTTCTAGATGTTGATACCTAGGTCTTTCAGCTTTTCTTTTAGCCAAAGAAAACAAATCTGATTTTTCAAACTATCTTTTAATTACCCATTCTGGGGGCACATGAGGAGTCATTAGAAGCTGACAATTGATGTGCAGAGGCATCTCCTCTTTGTTGCCAGCCTTCCATGGAATTGGACCACATCAGGGAGAATTTTCTAGGTGAGGAGTACTCAGTGGGCTCATAGTGCATTTTTCTTTGTTAGACCTGGAAGGGTTACTGTAAAGTCTTGGCTGCTTCTTGAAATGATTTGGGAAGGACAGGGCCTCAGACAGCTTGGCAGGAACCTGAGGCCCTGTTTTTTTCCAGTCCAGCCCTTCCTTGTGGATCGAGCTGTCAGGGAATCCCACGAATGTCTGGCTTCTGCCCCTTTGTATGTTTTTCCAGCATTTGTCATTGAATTATTTTTATCCATCTCTGGCTTTTTCACACATGCATCCTGGGGATTTGTCTGTTCCTCGATATTAAAGATGGGAGATGTTAAAAAAAAAGCACAGCTAGGAGTTCATTCCTACTTTTTGTCAGAGGTCAAGCTATCATGGGCATGGGCTGCTTGGCCTGGCTGTTCTCTCTAGAGAACATTCTACCAAGGAATGGGAAATCTTGGAAATCTGGGCCATTTTTGCTGTCACCCTGTCCCTCCCCTCTTTTCAGTGGTATAAAGAGTCTGATATTCTGCTTTACATAATTTTTAGGAACGTATTTTTCAGAGATTCTAATTCTAGTTTAGGCAATACTATTTCTTACAAATGTTGCTAGAGATTCAGGTTTGCCCCTTCTCATCTTTTCCTTCACAGTCAGTCCTCAGAAATGTTGAGTTTGTTAATTTCTTTTCAAAGTATGCCCCCATGCATTTTCTTGATGTCAGGCATTGGGTTAGATGCTCAGGAGTAGCACAAATCAAAACAGAATAGCCCCTGATCTCCCAGAGTAAACAATGGTGTATCTTCTACATTCTTAACATACTGTTGAGTACTAGGTAGGATCTAAAAGACAATTTAAAACATGGTGTTTGATCACTAAAAAATTACCATCTGCCAGGGAGAAGGAGCTAGATACACATGAAATAATTGGAGATCCGTTTCAGGCAGCATATAACAAAGATCTCCATGTTATGGCATAGGCAATTAAAAGAAAGAATATCAGGAAACACATGTAAGGATTCAGTGCTGCACATGGCTGTGCTACAACATGGATGAACCTTGAGGGTAGTAATGAGCCAGTCAGAAACTCTGGAATAGTCAAAATCATAGAAACAAAAAGTAAAAAAGTGCTTGCCAAGGGCTGGGGGAAGAGAGGAGGGGCAGTTAGTGTTTAATAGGTATAGAGTTGCAGTTTTGCAAGATGAAAATGTTCTAGAGATCTGTTACAGAACAATGTGAATGTATTTAACACTCCTAGACTGTTACATATAAAAATGGTAAGATGGTAAATTTAAAATTATGTGGTTTTTTATTATCATAAAAAAGAAGAATATATAAGGATTTAAAGGAGCACCCAGTTCCACAAAAATTATTCAGTGGCCAAAATGGCAAGGTTTTACTTCTATCCTCTGCTTCTGTGTAAGGAAATTATCCTGAATCTAGTCCTTTAAACGCTTCTCTTCCTTAAAAAGCATACCAACTACAGGAAAAGGGGCAAGCAACCTCTGTTAGGAAGATGCATAGCATAGTGGAAGGAGAAGGGACTTAGAGGTAGACAGACCTGTTTTGCCTTACTAAGTTTGTGGCTTTTGGGCAACTTAGCTTCTCTGAGCCACAATTCCCCATATTTTAAAAAATGTGCAATAATACTTACCTCATTAAGTTGCTGTAAGATTAATTGGAGTTGCATATATGAATGTAGCCAGCATAATGCCTCCTTTTCACTTTTTTTGGTGTAGGTTCTTGCTAACTCTCAGTTTCCTTTCTGGAAAAGAGAAAAGAAACTTAAGATTAGACTTGGTTTAGTACCTCGTTTAGATGAAACTGGCCATCGCCCCAGTTGCAGTGTGCTCCTGGAGCTGGATAGC